CTTCGAGCTGCTGCAGCGCGTGGGGGCCGGGACCTATGGCGACGTCTACAAGGTGCGCCGGCGGCGGGCGGGCGGCCGGGAGGAGGGTGCCGGCTCAGCGCCCCGCTGTGGAGCTGCGGAGCCAGCCCCCAACCCGCGCCCCCTCTGCCCCTGCAGGCCCGCGACACGGTCACGTCCGAATTGGCCGCCGTGAAGATTGTCAAGCTAGACCCAGGTGAGGGCCTGGGGAGCCGGGGCCTCTGCGCGGGAGCGACGGCTGCGCCCCGGGGCGTGGGTGAGGGGACAGGACCCCCAGCAAGTGCTGTCACGTGGAACCTGTCCGGCCCGGATGGAGGCACTCCGTGCCCATTTTGCAGATGCAGGCAGTGAGGCAGGGCGACCTCTGTGCTGCCCCATCCCATGATGCTCTGTGTTTCCCAGGGGACGACATCAGCTCCCTCCAGCAGGAAATCACTATCCTGCGTGAGTGCCGTCATCCCAACGTTGTGGCCTACATTGGCAGCTATCTCAGGTGAGGCTGCTCCCTCCTCACATGCCCAGGCGGCCCTCAGGTGGCCCTGCCGTGTGCCCACCGCAGCTCTGTGTGCCTCCAGGAATGACCGCTTGTGGATTTGCATGGAGTTCTGCGGAGGGGGGTCCCTGCAAGAGATTTACCACGGTGAGGCCCAGGACTGCCGGCCCAGAGAGCCACAGCCTCCCCTGGCCTTAGACCAGGACAGTGTACTTGGGCCCCTGGCCCCTCCTGACTGGCTGTGTGACCTTGAGAGAAATGCTGTCCCTCTCTGGGCTCCATGTCCCAGGCTGTGCAGGGAGGGGATGTGGCCCCTACTCCTTTCACCCCCACTGCCCGATTTCCCCCATAGGGTGGCCTGGGAGGATGGTATATGCCCCAGCCCCCTTGCCATCCCTCACCCTTCCGTTTCAGCTACCGGGCCCCTGGAGGAACGGCAGATTGCCTATGTCTGCCGAGAGGCATTGAAGGTAGCTGGGCCCACAGAGCCTCCCCTCCTCCCCACACTCCCAGCCCCAGGGAGCTGTGAGCAGGGAGACCAGCCGGCCACTGGGGCGGGTGGGGTGGGTGGTGCAGAATGCTCCAGGCTGGGCTGACCTGAGGGACTGTGGGTCCTGGGGGGTAGAGGCCCCAGCCCTGTTGCAGGAAGCAGCCCATTTCCCTCTTGGCTCAGTCACTTCCTGTTTGGGGAGAGGGGAGGAGGAAGCGGCTTGGGTGGGGGGCCCCAGTTCTAAGAGGAGATTCAGGACAGGTGGAATGGTACAGAGTAGGGCTGCTCTCAGGGACTCCTTTGTCTCCAGGGGTTGCACCACTTACATTCTCAGGGGAAGATCCACAGAGACATCAAGGTAGGGGTCCGGCCCGGGGCATTGTGGGAGGGAGCAGGCGGTGCCCTCCTTTAGGGACCCTGAGATGAGACTTTGTTTTCCGTTCCCCCAGGGAGCCAACCTACTCCTCACCCTCCAGGGAGATGTCAAGCTGGGTCAGTACCTTGGGGACAAAATCAGGGTGAGGGTTCTGAGAGCGCCCCTGAAATCTCCGATCCTCAATTCAAGTCCCGGGTATCTTTGAGCAAGCTGCCTTGCGCCTCACTTTCCCCCCTGAGAACATGCAACCGTGCTCCCTTCCTGCTGGAGGTGGGATGAGGTGGGTCAGTACAAAGTCTGATTGGGAGCCGATTGCTCTGTCAGTGGGAGGTGGTTGACCCCTTGCAGGGGGGACACAGACTTGCCTTAGGCCTGTGGCAGCTGTGGGTGGACCTGGGCTGCCCGCCCACTGAGCCCTGCCAGGTGCATCCTGACCCTGCGCCCTGGTCGGGGGAGTGGCAGCCAGAGGGTGGGTGAGACTCATTGTTTCTCTTTGCAGCCGACTTTGGGGTGTCAGGGGAGCTGACGGCATCGGTGGCCAAGAGGAGATCATTTATCGGGACTCCGTACTGGTGAGGCTATGCCTCGGGTGAGGGGGCAGGGACTTCAGGTGGGGTACCCAGTCATGCCATCTGTGACCCCGCCTCTAGGATGGCCCCAGAGGTGGCGGCCGTGGAGCGCAAAGGTGGTTACAACGAGTTATGTGACGTCTGGGCCCTCGGCATCACCGCCATCGAGTTGGGCGAGCTGCAGCCCCCGCTCTTCCACCTGCACCCCATGAGGTCAGCCCAGCACAAGCCCCTTGCCTGCCCCCAGCCCTGCTGATGACCTTTGACCTCTGACCTCGTGCCCTCCACAGGGCCCTGATGCTCATGTCCAAGAGCAGCTTCCAGCCACCCAAGCTAAGAGACAAGACTCACTGGTAAGGGCTCCCTGCTCCTTCTGGGGCCCCACCTTTATAGCCAGGCCCGTGGGGAAGAGGAGGAGCCTCCTGCCAGTTCCCAGAGTGCACCTGGAGAGCCTCCCCAGACCATGGGAGTGAGGACGTGGTGTGGACAGGGAGGAAGGCAGTGGGCAATGACAGGCTGCTGGGTTGCGACAGACAGTCGCTTTTGGTCAGGCGGTGGCTCTCGGTCTCAGGCGGGTTCCTTCCTGGGCGGGCCCCGCTGGCTCCCGCTGGTGGCTGGGCACCACTGGCAGGATGCCATGCGTGAGGACTCACCTGGGTCTGGGGGTGGGGGATCTTGTGCCCACCAGGACCCAGAATTTCCACCACTTCCTCAAGCTGGCATTGACCAAGAACCCCAAGAAGAGGCCAACAGCAGAGAGACTTCTGCAGGTGGGCGGCCAGGGGCGGGAAGCGGGGGTGGAAGGGCTTGATGCTCTCAGAAGCAGGGCCCGGGGACAGCAGCCAACCTGCTCATCCCTCCAACCCCCCAGCACCCATTCACAACCCAGCAGCTCCCTCGGGCCCTCCTCACTCAGCTGTTGGACAAAGCTAATGACCCGCACCTGGGAATGCCCTCCCCTGAAGACTGTGACCTGGAGGTAAGTGGAGGGGAGCTGGGGAAGTGGGTCTTGGCCCGGCCCAGTTGGAAGGCGCCCCACGGTGATACAGGTCGGGATCCCTTCAGCTGGTCTGTCACAGCCCAGGGATCCTCTTCCAGACAGTGGAGCCTTGCCTTAGAAACCTGTCCTGAGCCGGAACTGGGTCTTGTCTCCCTGTAGCACCCCTTGACAGGTCCCTGCTCTTGGGTCCAGGCTGCCCGTGACACCAGCTAATTCACCTTCTTGCTTTCTGTGTAACCTCTGGCAAGTGTCTTGACTTCTCTGTGCCCATTCTCCCACCTTTGAATTAAGGGTGCCTTTTATCTCATGGTACCTGAGAGCGTTGGGAGAACATAATGGGTAAATGTGTGTGAACCCCCTGGAACGGTATGTGGTGCGATGGGCAGACCTGTTTGTGGCCCCCGATTTCTGTTCTTCCTCAGACTTATGACATGTTTCCTGACACCATCCACTCCTGGGGGCAGCATGGCTCAGCCGAGAGGACCCCATCAGAGATCCAGTGTGAGCCTGGAAGGGGGCTGTGCGGGTTTGGTGTGGGGGGCCAACCCTGAAACCCAGGCCCCTAAACTGCTGCACCCTGGGCCCCTGCAGTTCACCAGGTCAAATTCGGTGCCCCCCGCAGGAAGGAAACGGACCCACTAAACGAGCCGGTGAGGGGCTGCATGGGAAGGGTGGGGTGCAGGGGTGGGGTGGGAGCAGGAAGGGGAGGGCGGAGGCGAGGGACTTGGATGGAGGTGGAACCTCTCCGGGGAGGAGACCTGTCCCAAGCAGTCCTATCCCGTTGTGTCCTGGACGCTGGCACTCCTTCCTGCGCCAAGCCCTTCTGGGTGGTCG